TAAAATAATTGTTGATGAACCAAGAGTATACAGAATCCTCCCCGGTGTTCAACGCAATACAAAAATATATGTAGATGATTTGGGATATAAATATTATAAGAAAAAGTTACTAGTTAATAAAATAACCTTAATATGTGAGCGACAAAGAAATCGAAGCCGCCCAATGTGTCATGGTACAGCATCTATAAATAAAGATGAGACGGATAAACGAATTTTTATTGGAACTCCTCACAACCATGAGCCTCAAATAATTGACATGAATGTTCCATTATTGAGAGATGCTCTGGCTGAAAGATGTCTAGATCCAATTAGAACACAGTCTGTTCGAAGTATTTATAACAGTGAAATAATCAGGTAAATTGATTTTTATTCGATCAATCATATTATTTAGTATGTTAATACTTTACTAGTCAATATTTTTTTTCGAAGTTTGAATTAATTATGAGATTTAAAATTATTTTTCAAGTTTAGTTTGGTTGGGTTTTTAAAACTAGGTTTAGGTTTAGGACTTTTAACAGTCCGGTCTACCTCTTCTTAAAATTGATATAAAATTTAATTTGACTTGGACTTATTCGTTTAAAATTAATTTTATTGTTTCTTTTTGACTGAAATTTTTGTTATGATACTCTTAAATATCTATTTATTTGTTATCATTTTGGGCAGGCATCAAGAAGCAGCTAAAAATTACTCATTTAAACAAACACAAGCAAGAGTGAAAAGAATGAGAAGATTACGATTACGACGATCAGTAAGTTGCATTAATATATTTTATGTTATCATGAAAAACAATAGTTAGAAAAAGGTGTCATTCAGTGGCATAACTAGGAGGGACTTCATCTCCCATAATTTTAAAACAGTGACCTATATCATGTCATTGGATTGGAAATTTGAATACCCATAATTATGTTGGGAAATGCTAAAAAACCCATTTTGTTATAGAATTTTGTTTCTAGAATTTTTTAGTTTTATTTGTTAATGTCGCAACATCCCACAATTTAACATCTTTGATATCCTTGATAGTTGATATTCTTGAAGTAACACTTACCATAGTAACAATATACAAACTGACAACTGTTGTATCGTTAACTGGACTGGGTAAGTGACAGGCCAGTCATTGATTTTAAAATGTTGAATTATCTTTTACCGAAAATTAAATATTAATATTTATATTATAATAGTAAGCCCGAGTGGCGTAGTGGTCACACAGTCATTGGTACAATTCATAGCAAAGTGCAAAAAAAAAATTGCGTGGTTTTACGCGATCACCAATTTCTCGTGCTGTCGTCCGTTTGCGGTTTGCATCATCCATCATCCAATTTCCAACTAAGTCTCACTCTACTGGGAGAGAAGACTGCACATGTCTCCTCTTGGTGAAGGGGGGTAGTATCATGTATATTATGATATATATTATATACATAGATAAATATATCACAATATGATCTCCCTACTACCCACTTGGCCACTTGTGATACGCATTGACAAAGATCTTAAGATCATTTCAATGAACAAATAGAGAGAAAAAAAAATATTAGTTTGATATTGGGTATAGTGCAAGTATACCTGTGTTAGGATTTAATTTGGAACGAAAATATAATAMATTTATAAAAAAAATAAAATATATTTTCATTCATTTTCGGTATACTTCGGTATATTTTGTAATTTGTATTATTCAGTGTTCTTAATTCATCATATTATAAGATGCATTTTTGTCT